ACTAAATTTACTGTAGATTTAGTCGACTAAAATCTTATGATATTTAGTCGACTAAAACTAGACTAAAACTAAAAACAATTCAGGTGACTAAAATATGACTAAAACTAAATGGCATTTTAGTCAAAAGACTATGACTAAAACTAAATAAAAATTTGCTGTCAAAATTAACAGTTTTGTACTGATAAGTGCACTTTGTAATGTCAAATGAAATATTTTACTTTAAAGTGCATTTTAAATGATTATATTGTAATATGAACATTGCTATGAAAATATGAACTTGCTTTAGCATACGAACATTATGACGAAAATTATTTGTCAACGAAATTAACACTGGTACAAAATTACATCATTACAAATGTATAAAATATATTTCAATAAATGACATACAGGTTTCAATGGAATGTTTACAATAAATTCTTGTCAGTACATTCAGCAGTACACTTTAACCATATTTATTATGAAATTAGATATAAAGATGTACTTAAGTCCTACTTAAGTGGGTCAAAGAAGCACTTTTAATTTCAGCTAGTTGCATTTAATATAAATTTAAACTATAATAAATTATAATTTAATTGCAAATAACATGCAATTAAGTGTCTGTAAACATGATATTCAGATCATACTTAAATATTCTTTTAAAGTGCATTATTTGAATAATTAGTACTCATTTTAAAAGTATGCCAAAGTTTACTTGTTTTTCACAAGAGATCCTGCAAAAATGAATGCTAGTTTAAGTCAGTTTAACATCAAGGACTTAATTAAAATGTCTCCTCAAATGCTTTGACACCCAATAAGATTGCTTAGAGACCTTCAGCTTGTCAGTATTCTTTTATATTATCATATTATAATGGCTAACAATAGATTCAGTCAAGCTTAATGTTTGGTATTGACTGAAACAAGAAGTGCACTTCAGATAATGGTGATGAAAGATTGATGCTTTCAGTCATGAGCAGCTCTGAGATAATGGACCTGCTATATCCTTTGCTTTATTATGATAGGATCTATCTGGATAACCAGTTCTTCTAATCAATTGCTATTTGTTCACGTATGTTAATCAGTCATCGTCGACAGGGATGAAAGTTCTGCTCTAATGACCTTTGAAGAAAGTTTTTGGTGAGGTTGAGGATAGAGGGATTTTCTCTGTCAAATAAAATCAGAAGACAGATTTCATTTAGTGTCTCCTGGTTCAATCATAATACTCATATTTGCAGGCGGGTGTAAAGCATTAGAGCAGTTTGTAGAGCCACAAGCTGTTCATATCCAATGTTCTCTGGCTTTTGAAAGAGACATTCTCTTCACGTTCACTCGTGCAATTCCACAATCTCAGTGATCGATGAGAGACGCCGTTCGCTCAAGGATAAACTCTGTAGGCACGAGCCTGGCTGAGCACAACATCCCACTCAAGGGCAAGGTGAATTACATTGTGGCTATAAGAAAAGTGACCTTTAGCTTCTGTCATACCTGTGGCCAGTGTCAGGATCATTAACGGCAAGGAAATAGAGAAAAACAACTGTCAGATAACAATCGCTGTGATTGGTCCATATTACAAGTTCAGTCAATCATCGCCTACACTGGAATCATTCTGTCTGAAGAATATACTACATATCATCATCTCTTTCTATCAGAAATTTCATTTTTTTCCACATACATTGAAAACTTTTTCGAAAGTTTTTTTTTTCGAAATTGTAAATAAAACATTGTGGTATGTTTTACAAGATAAAACTATTTAAAACTTTTAGAGGAATGTGGAAACAATTGTTCAATGGTGTGTTTTGAGTAGCTTTTTAAAATAATAATAATAATTAGTAGTAGTAGTATTCAAATTTACCCCTATGAACCCTGGTTTTGTAGATGTGTTGGTTTTAGCGAAGAAGCAGAAACATACGTTTACATATGTAAGCAGATGCAAATGTAAAATAATGTAATCATTAAACATTAAACCGCATATAAATCAAAACTGCCTAACGTTACAGAAAGTCAGGAAGTGGTTTAGTGTTTTTTTTAAGCTTTGTTGATGGGAGCGATCTACTCCATCTATGTTTTGATCATAGTTATGAATATGTTGTCTTTGTAATTATTTGTGAAATGTAATAGCAATTTCTGAGTAAAATATGTTTCAAAGTAAATCCTACACCACAGATTTGTATTCAGCAAATTTATAGTAAACTGGGAGCTGTGTTTGCCAGAAATTCCATAAAAACAATAAATGGATGGATGGATGGATGGATGGATGGATGAATTAATGAGTTTCAGGTATTACGTGTTGGCATAGTGGTGCCTCTAGTTACAACTGATAACTGTATATTTCATTAAATGATATAATATCATTATACCTGTAAGTTATACAGCATAATTTGACAGTAAACCATACATTTTACAATAGTTTTCAGTAAATTTACATATAATGCTATTTACAGTTCTTCATCATATATATGGGAAGGTACTGTAACTTACAGTTAATAAATTACTGTAGCACTTTTGTTCTGCAAAAATCACAAACATGGGGTTTTATTAGGGCTTTATAAGGGTGTTTATCTGAAACGGTTTTATACTGATATCAAAAAGAAACCATTTTCACTCAGAAATTGCTAGTAAATTTCACATAAAATGTCTTAATCACTAATAATTACAAAGAAACGGCAAGTAACACATTGAATTTAGATAATTTAAAGAATAGAAAGACTGAAACATACTCCAATTCAAACATACTCCAATCCAAAATCGAAAAACTTGAAAAGTCATATTTGCAGTTTAATACTCGTTTGAAACTAAGCGGGAGTGATGGCTCAACTTTGAATACTCACAAATGAAGGGTTTGAAGGACTGCACCAAGAAAAATAAATCCTTCAATTGTGCACAAAATAATTTTCTGCTCAAAGATTTGATGATCCATTTCACTATATTACGCTGTTAAAAGGTTTTTAAAAACCTTTGTGTACCGCTGGGCCTTGTCTGGATGAGTTTTATTTTTTGAAGTCTTTATGATCATTTGTTTGTTTTAACAGCAACAGATAATTGAGTTGGTGGGATTAATTCTCTCCCTGTCCCGTGGCTACACCATCTGCGAAATCATCAAACATGTTTGTCATGTAAACTTAATAGAAAATCAGTTTAGCCCCAGCAAACAGGGAATAAGACGATTAGGCCCTCGACTGAAACGCTTACCAAAAAATAACATGGTGGTACCATGATTCAGTCATGCTTTCAGATGTATTACCATGCTTCTTTGACGTATAGCATGATACTAAATGATTACCATATCCATATATTCATCCACTTGATATTGCTAACGTACAAACATGGCATTACCATTGTAGCAGTTCCCAAAAAAAGAATTTGCATTGCATGCAGTTTGAGATATCAAGAATGTTCTAAAGGAATACGTTTAAAAGTCGATCCATTGCAGTCTTTACACCAGACATACAGTAATTAATATGTTGTATGGAAAGTAGAATCATGTCTGTCTTTATCTTTTTAACATCAACATCCACTGTCTCTTCAAGATCTTAAAGTCCTTTCCACCAGTTTCTTCTCTGAGAGGGAGAAATTGAGGTGAAATTAAAAATAAATCAAAAGAATTCAATTTAACAGTGAAGCATAACACATGAAGGACCCAAATGAAAACGTAATGACACTTCTTCTTGGTTGGCATTATATATTCATGTGAGGCACCTTCATTTTGACGTGTTGCCAGATTGTTAAAATTTCAACGATATTGTAGATCTTAGATCAATGTTGAAAACTGTTTGCTGTTTAATATTGATATAGTAACTGTGATACACTACCATTCAAAAGTTTGGGGTAAGATTGTTTTTTTTAAAAAAGAAAAGAATAAAAATAAAATAATTCGTATTTTTATAACATTTATAAAGTTTCAAAAGATTTCTATATCAAATAAATGCGGTTTTTAAACTTCCTATTCATCAAATAAAAATATATCAAAATATATATAAAAAAATATTAAGCAGCAAAAACTGTTGTAACATTGATAATAATAGGAATCATTATTAATAATTGAGCAAATAACATTAGTATCAGTATTGTTATTACAGTATGTTAATATCATTATTATGCTATATTAGTATATAGTATTATTACTAATCCAGATAGATAGATAGACAGATAGATAGATAAAATATATTAATAAAAAATATAAAAATAATAAATTAAATAATGCATGGCCTGTACTGTTGAGTACTATTGAACTCCTCTATACCTTTGTACATACAGTATCAGTTTATTTTTTAGCTGTTCCAGGCGCCATGAATGCATTCATGAATATTGTATTGTTTGGTGTGAGAGCACACCTTATCACTCAAGCATCGCATGCAGTTTCACATCCTGGTTCAGTACGGCTTCTCTGTTAAAGTGAACAGGATTGACAGGCCCAAGAGCCCATATTGACACACACACACACACACACACACACACACATATTGTAACAACATCCTCTTTGCTGTGACCAGGAATAATGAGGACATTCCTCCAGGAGGCATTGTAATGTTACAGCTCTTCCTCTCTCTCTTTGTCTCTGTCTTCCTCCCAGATGAGTTAAAGGAGAAATTACAGGACTTTGTCAAGGAGACCAACGCCAAGCAGCCCGGTTTCATTAAAATGGTGCGGCACAGTAAGCAGGAGGGGCTGATCCGCTCACGTGTGAGTGGCTGGAGAGCTGCCTCTGCCCCTGTGGTGGCCCTGTTTGACGCCCACGTAGAGTTCAACACTGGCTGGTGGGTGATATGAGAATTCCGGCTATTCCTAGCGCTTCATAGCCAGACTGTAATTACTGCTTCTTTCAATTGAAATGGTCTAAAGGATCAGTGCCCTTGTTCAAGCACTAATAGGAACTGAGGGTCATTTTTTTCCTGAATAGATCTGAAAAAAAAAGAAAAAAAACAGCCTAGTCTAGTTCACTGCTTCATTTTTCTCTCATCTTCATGTTGTTCCAAACCCATATGAGTGTCTTTCCTCCATGAAACATAAAAGGATTTTTTTTAAGAATGCACACACTGCTCTTTTCCATAGTGCAAAGGACAAAAATGCTCCTTAAAAGTAGTTCAAATTACTTCTGTACTATATTCATTTTTTTTAATCCATATGAAGGCTTAATGCGCAGCATATGCTGGAAAAACATGCCTTTTATGCAAAAATCCGAAAACCTACCTATACCTACAATTCACTGCAGTTTCCAGCTGAAATGAACACTAGAAGCTGTAACTTAAATTCCTTTTTTTTACACAAATTATGATTACAGCGAAGATTATTGATTAATAAAGACTTATTTTCACGTGATTCCTTGCACAATATTATGTTGTGACCTGAAACTGTTTTATCATATTACATGATTTGCAAACTAATACATTTTGATGTTTGCATCACATAAAATGCTCCTTATGTAAGGCTTTTCCGATGTAGTAAACTTGCTCGGTAGCGCACCTGGTACAGCTTTGCACTTGTGAAGTGGAGTGCTCGGATTTGAGTCCTGTGAAACATGATGCACCATAAAAGACCTCAATACTTGTAGAAGCAAGCTGAATTGGCACTATTGCTTTAGCAAAATGTGTTTTTATTCCATATTTACTTTTGTTAACACTATCAGTTAGGTTAAGTGTAGGTGTTATGTTATTTTCAGACATGATAGAGCATTAATCTTTTAGTGCGACTCACTGGATATTTCCGAACTGCCACCAAATAAACATCAACCAATGTAATAAAACATCGGCAGATTCACGTTTATCATTTTTTGGATAAAACTGATTATTTTAGTGTCACTCACTGGATTTCACTTTGAAAGTGTTGATAAATGCTTAATATCATTATGCAGAAATGTTGCCTCAGGTGCATTTTTTTCCAGTGACCTTGAGTTATTAATAATGTGAGGAGCAGACTGAAACTTAAGTTATTATGCACTCAGAATCTTCATCTCTAACTTCCATATTTCATTCACACTTCATTTTCAAACTTGGCAACACATCGAGTTCATTCTTGGATGAACTATTCCTTTAACCTGGTCCTGTATGAACATAGATCACATAGATGCCCTTCATCATCAAAAGAAGTTCTGGATCTTAGAGTTGGCACACCATGGTTTCTCTCATAGCAATCTGACCCAGATATGTCAGTGCAATTTGAATAACACCCAGAATTTTTCTGCCTTTAATCAGCTTTGATGTGATTTTAAAGCCGTACTGTACTGCTCAATTTGCATCTCTCTAGAAGAATCAGTCCTAAAATAGTACTGAGGATGAGCTGACTGAATAGGCACTGTTTGTTATTTAATCGTGTTGAGAATGCACTGCTTGTTCAGCCTCACGTTTCATACTCAAAAAATGCCTTTCTTTATTTTTGGAACAAAGCATGTTCACTGGGTGGTAAATGATTTTATTGTTATGTCTACAGGGCTCAGCCTATTCTCCAAAGGATCAAAGAAGACAGAACCAGAATTATATCTCCATCTTTTGACAACATCAAATACGACACATTTGAGATTGAGGAGTACCCACTCTCCGCTCAGGGCTTTGACTGGGAACTGTGGTGCCGGTATCTGAACCCACCAAAATCCTGGTGGAACTTGAAAAACAGCTCTGCTCCAATCAGGTATTTTGTTCAATTTATTAATTTGGGAATGAATGATTATTTATTTATTTAGCTGATATTACAATAAATGTATATTCAATTAATGTTATTATATAATGTAAATCTCTAGGAGTCCGGCCCTGATTGGCTGCTTTGTGGTGGACAGGGAGTACTTCGCAGAGATCGGTCTGCTGGATGAAGGCATGGAGATTTACGGAGGAGAGAATGTGGAGCTGGGTGTGAGGGTGAGAAACTATATCATTCTGAGCAGGCTATGGGGTAATGAGGATAATGGATTCCCTCTTGAAGGATTAATGACTCTAATGGCCCTCCTTCCTTGGCAGGATAGTTCAAGTTGGCACCATTTACTGTATCTCTTGTCAAAACGCATTCTTTTGATCTGGTTGTAATTGTTATGCACTTTAAAAATGAGACGTAGCTTTTTTTCAACATCAGTGTGAGTGGGGTTATTAAAACTACATCCATAATAAAATGTTTTACACATTTTGAGATGAAGTAGAGCAAGACAAGTCACTTTTGAATTTAGGGCTGCTACTAACATTTTGGTTACACATTATTTTAAGGTGTCCTTGTTACAGTGTAATTATACATTTAAGTACTGAGTAATATTAATTAACTACATGTACTTACTATATGTTAGGGTTAGGATTAGGGTTTGGCTTAGGGTTTTACTTGCATGTAATTATGCATAATAAAGGGGTCAAGATTTCAAGTTTAAAGGGGTCACGATTTCAAGTTTTCCTTTCTCTTTGGAGTGTTACAAGCTGTTCGTGCATAGATAAGATCCCTGAAGTTGCAAAGACTAAAGTCTCAAACCCAAAGAGATATTCTTTATAAAAGTTAAGACTGGTCCACGCCCTCCTAAAACGGCTCGTTCTAACACGCCCCCACATGTCTACGTCACGATGTGGGAAGATTTGCATAACACCTGGATTCACAGTATGTTAAGGGGTGTAACATTTCCGTCACACGCTTGAGGCATTCGGCCAATCACAACGCACTAGATAGCTGACCAGTCAGAGCACACCTCGCGTTTCAGAAAGGTGGGGCATAGAGGAGCAACAATAATGTACAGTATGTGGAAAATAATGTGTTTAACCTTAAACCGCATAAACACATTGCATTACACCAAATACACAAAATATTGTTCTTTTTAACAACGTCATATGACCTCTTTAATTGTTATTATAATAGTAAGTACATGTAACGTGTAACAATGACACCTTAAAATAAAGTGTTATCAACATTTTTATTGATTCTTTTTCCAATTAGTTGATTAATATAAAGATTATTTCCCTCAATTATTTCAAAATTTTCTCATAAAATACTTATTTTATAAATAAAAATAAAATAAAGTGCCGAGAATTAGAAGACATTTTTCAGTAATACAAAATTTGAGTCCAACCTAAATTTTGCACAAATAATAGCTAGTGCCAATTATAATCTAAAATGCACATGTATTGATATTTCAAGTACATGTCAAATTTTCTTAGGAAAACAAATGTTCCTTCATTTGGTACATTCATTGGACTAATATTAAAGGTTAAAATGACCGTAATAACAGAGACCAATATTTGTTACAAACATTTAAAATACACATAAGGTAGTTTTCATTAAAAGCTGACATATTTATTCAAACATACATAATTATATTATATTATATTATATTATATTATATTATATTATTATTAATGATATGAAAACCCTAATTTTCATGTTGGCACATTCCATGTAAATTGACTTATTTACATAATCCACATTGTTAATTACGATTACAACAACGTTTCTGCTCCATTTGAACTGTCATATACAGTAAGAAGTGTTGGAAATGGCCAAAATTCACTGGGGAGACTCTAGCTTGGAGGGGGGTGGGGGGAATAATGGTAATTTTAGATGACCTTTCGGAAGTATTTAATTATAAAAACCTTTTAATCTATAATAACATTAATCTTATTTCATATTTTCTCTAAACCTTCTTGAATATCAAGACAGGCACCCCACAATTCTGGCCAAATTAAAGATACACTGTGTGCGAATTTGCATATTATAATGTAAAAAAAATGTTGTACCTTGGTAATGCCATTTTTCTAACTTTATTAAATGTATGTCATCTTTTGTGTCAAAAAAATATATGTATAAACTTTTTTCCAAAATTTTAAATTAAACAATAAATTCAATTAAAATAATAAGATACAATCTGTCAAATGAAATCAGCATCAACATTTCATCTTTGCACTAGGAGGTGGCACAGAAGAACACAAATGTGGCATTAAGGAATATTTACAGACTGTTTAATGGGGCTCAGAGGTGGCATGAATGCATTTAAATTCATAATAACAATGTTATAAGATTAATGTTTTAAATATAAAGTTTTGAATATAGAAATATTCAAAGATTTAAATAACTTTAATTATACTTAAAAAAAAAAAAAAAAACTAAAACCAGCAGTAGGTCTTTGTCACTGAATCATTCATTCAATCGATTCGTTCAAACAGGTGATTCATTCAGAAATGAAGCAAGTGACTGTCTTTATGAATGGGTCATTGAATCACTGACTCACTAGATTTGTTCAAAAAACGCAGATTCATTCATAAATGAAACACCACTGTGTTTGCTTGGAGATGCGCAGTGGCGCAGCTGGGACTTTGTTTGCAACTATTTTCATTGACGAAATCAGACAAAATCAAAAATCAAAATCAGACAACAGTGTTCCTAAAATTGTACTTAATAGTAACTTTTGTATAAAATCAAAAATGTATTGCAAACTCACTTTATAATCATTAAAAAGCTGTCACTCGTCTTAGTTCATCGCGATCTCACAGTCTTCCATTATAATTAATAAAGCTCTCTACACTGCACACTGAATCTATTATTTACATAGTGTCTACAGTTTGTTTGTTAAAATGAGAGGATCTGAGGCCATGTCCACACGTACACGGGTATTTTTTATAAAGAGTTTTTCCTTCTTCCGTTTTAAAAAAAATCTCCGTCCACATGAAAACGCAAACGCATGCTATGAAGCACTGTCAAGAGCATGCCAAACCAACAGGTGGCGATATAATCTCAACCGTAAAGCCATGTTGGCCAATCAGAAGCCTGAAAAAGTTTCCAGTAGGCGGAGATAACAGCGCAGGCTCCGACGTCACAAGCCAAAAACTCTGGTTTCGCTGTCTACACGATAACACTGCAACCTTTTGATTTTTTTGAAAATCTTCACCCTGGCAGGCGTTTTCAAAAATGTTCGGTTTCAGTGAACTGGTGCTGCGTTTGCGTGTGGATGAATGGCCAAACCGCGAAGAAAAAATGTGGACAGGGCCTGAGTTTGAATGACGCAGCACAGAACAAAAACTGCAGTCTGCTTCCATGATCTGTTTTGTGAGGAGCAGGACACACAGCGATACAGAAGCATTCAGGTATTATGGCCAATCACAAAAGACAGCATTGCGGAGCTAACCATAGACACAAATATCCCGCTACATTTTTAGTACATATTGTGCTATGTTTATGTGCAGAACTGAGATCACTTTCGTTTGTCCAATCACAATTTGTCCTTTATAACACTGTTTTCTTTTACCAGTAAATTGCTAGATTTAGCTTTGCAAAAATGTTCAGAACTTTTCTATTTTTTTTTCTTTCTCTGAATTACAAATCCTGTGCCTTTTTTGGTTCCCAAAGCTCTTGCAGTACAGCCCTATATTTTGTATCATCCATTCATACTTTTGTTTTAACGCTGCTGATAAAAAGCAGCCCCACGGCATGAAAACTACCACTTTCACTGAAGGTATGGTGTTTTTTGAGGTGTTAGATTTGAGCAGTGTTAAATTTGCACCACACATTTGCTTCACATATTTCTTTTTCTGTGCTACCTTCCCCTACAGGCCGGTGTTATACAGGTGTCCTGATATGGTTGACTGGTGCACCTTTACTCTGTTTTCAGATACTGAACTCTCAAAGCGAACATTGTCCTTTATGTGGCTGCTCTCACATGTCTCCTGCTGTTTGTGCAAGGAGTTTCATAGGGCAACATTTTCAAGCCAACATCTGGGTGGTTTGATGAAATAGCATGGCCTGCTGGGACACATAAACACTCGGATATTATTTTCCTTACTTATGTCTTTATTTTACTTAATTTCTAACTTCATAGAATGACTCTTTATTATTCATTTCACATAGTGTATGCCCTTCAAACTCACAACCTGAATAATGAGTCATTATGAACTGTAAACCCCAACGTCCTATGGGATTTTTTGCCAGAAAATGTGGTGGTTTTTAATTGATTCACAAGTGAATGTTTGAGAATTTAGTTTTAATCTGGGGGACACGGGGGCTGAATACATATTTCAGTCCATTTTCATAAAGAATATTTTGTAGCATAAAATAGTATCTCTTTAATTTTCAGTTTCAGTGCTAGGAATAAAAATATATTTGACAGCAAAATGTCATTGTAGGACTCATAGTTAAGTAAAATTGCTTAAGTCTGAATATTTATGAGATGCAAAGTACACTACCAGTCAAAAGTTTGAAATAATTAAAGAAGTCTCTTATGCTCACCAAGGATTGTAATACCATTTTACAGTATTACTGGTTTTACTGTATTTTTGATCCAATAAATGCAGCCTTGGTGAGCAAAAGATTCTGTACTTTTAAAATAGCCTTCAATAGAACTCAAATATTCAGTGACCCTTATGTCAGTCGCACTTCAGACCCTGTTTGCTTTCCCTTCCGTTTATACTGCAGTTTATTTGCCAGTTTAGTTGTACATGTCTTTGTCTCTGTCCCAGCACAGTCTTAATAAATGTGTGGTACCTGAGCAGAGAGCCATTATAATCCCTAAAGGAAGCCAATAATAACCTTCAAGCACACTGTGACCCCAAAAAGTATTTAGACACTTCAAGGAATAGTTCACACAAAAATGAAAATTTGGCCAACCAAGATGTACATGTAAAAGATGTTCACCAGAACAGATTTGGAGAAATTTAGCATTACATCACTTGCTCACCAATGGATCCTCTGCAGTGAATGGGTGCCGTCAGAATGAGAGTCCAAACAGCTGATAAAAACATCACAATAATTCACAAGTAATCCGCAGGAGTCCAGTCCATCAATTAACATCTTGTGAAATAAAAAGCTGCATGTTTGTAATAAATCCCTCATTGAGACGATTTAACTTTAAACCGTCTCTTCTGGCCAAAATATCATAAATTCATAATCCATGTAGCAAATT